CGAATGCGCTGTCCAACCAACTTCCTACCTGCCCACTCCGAAGGAACGCGTTTCCCTTGTGTGGGTGGGCTTTGCCCCCATATGCTGCAGTGTACTCAAGTGTCCTGCCACACGTGAAACACTGAAATAAGATTGTCCAAATAGACAGTTTACCACGTAGGTTTTCCCGACCAATCGTATCCATAATAAAGTTGTTTTGGGTTAGATCGCGTAAATATAAAAGTCGATAAAACCGCCAGCACCCGAAACAGCCAATTGGCAAGGCTTGTCACGTCAACAAAACATGGCAATTAGTAACTAGACCAGCACACCACGTGTGTTGGATAGTAACCCTACAAGTGATGGAACACGCATCGATCCTCTTCATTAGTGTTAAGACGCCAGGTGAGGCTCTTGAATAGATAAATGACGGTGTTACCATAGTTGCATGTTAACACGCGCGCACACACACAACGCACGCCGAGCCCAACACACGCACGCACGCACAGGCAACTTTATCACACAGCTTTATTGCTTGCATTCTGACCTCCGCGGAGAGAGGAGGGGGAGGGGAGGCAACAACAGGCAGACCCGCGGTGGATGGCACGGCCCAGCCCGATCCGGCCCGACCCCCACGAACTCGAGACGAAGGCTCCAGGCTCTCGCATGCAGCCATGGGACCATGAGCACCAAACGACCAGAGCAGGGGACCGAAGTGGACTCCAGCATGAATACTCTTGTTGTAGTATTACACCGCACGCAACACACTCTCGGCCACGCAAACGCCACGGGCGAGCTCCGTGCCGTCCAACAGATGTTTCACAGAGCAGCGGTTTAATATAAAGACTGCTTCGTTCAATAATGGTGATGCGACCAACTGCTTGTCTTTACCCGAACACTACCCATCCTCATGGTCCCCCAGTTATGGGCAAACCCAATACCACGCCTCGTCAGTCAGTGAACCAAATAATTGGCTGCGCAGGTATTATTCACGTAAGCATTTTCACTACAACACTCATTCAACTCCTGATGACCCACCCGGCTCGCAATTCCACGCGTAGCATCGCCAGCGCAAGTCCTTTTTAGACAAAGCAAACATTTCAACCCAACCGTTTCAACCTAAAACTTATGTTTTTATGAAGTCAACTGCCTGAGATGGGTTATAATTTGTAGAAAGGGGCTGGTCTTAGATCAAGTTGTGGTTTCACACAAACGGTGTATTCACAATGGTGGCACAAACATCGGCATGTTTCCCGTTGGTTTTTTTCTTTACACGACTTTGCTCAGCCGAAGTGCCTGGATAAAAAGGGGCTCCCAAGGTTCAAGGTGGGATGGCCCATGTGAGTGGTGGACGTGCGAGTGTCCACGTGATCCGATCATCAACCACATAAAACACCTAACGTGGATATTTCACCCGGTCACTTCAATCCGTGCAAGGGTAGAACATTCACGTCAGGTGCCCTCGTGCATTGAGGCCAGTGACACCTGCAGGGTCAGCACCAATGTGCCTGGGCAGAGGTGTTTCGGGGTCATAAGGATTCATCCATTACCGTTGAAAATTACACTCACGAAACCCGCATGGAATTGTGCGTGAAGGAATGGATTATTTATCATTCATGCAAAATACATGCCAAAGAGCGAATGGGATGAGTCGAGACGGAACGAGGCAGCCAGTACAACGGAGGACTTGACAATGCAAACAAAGCAGTACGAACAAGACAGACAATACGCACACTTCAAACCAGTACAGATGAGACAAAAAAATAATCAGTTCTTGAATTTAATACTGTTTCCAAATCGTGAAAAATCGCTGAGGGTGGTATTGAATCATTACATGCTCAATGGATGTCACACGTCCTCCCTAATTATTCTCACCCCACCGCAGTCCCACGCACGGCAATGGAAACTGCAGTAAGGCCACAGCCTCTACGTATATGCAAAACGCATCAGCAGTTCCAGATGCACCATCAATGTTTTACATACACATGGAGGCTGTTGCTTCAAACATGTCGGGTGTTATTTGAAAGCTACGGTTTTCCGACCTGCACTTATTCCATTACGATTGTTTCCCCATCTTTTACGACAGATTGGACCATCTTTTAGCAACGACAGTTGAGACGACTCCCATCGACACAAGATAAAGACTTCGGAGTGAAACAATTTTGACTAATTATGTATACATTTGAAAACTAGTTCCTTTCAGTTGGGGCGTGATGAACTAAATGTGGGAGTTTCACAGTTCTATAGGACCAGTTTGGTAAGTAATCAAACCCAATGAACGGAGGTTGGCCTCGCAGAAGGTTTTTCATTGTTCTCAAATGGGATCATTCATCTCCAAGGTTGAAGGATATCACCTGATTGACATTAGTTGCCCTAAACCGGTTTGATTGAAACGTTTAACTCAAAATTCGGTAACACCAAACTGGTTTTAAGCCAAAGATTGTCAAATCGGTTTCACCAACGTGGATTTACAAGTGTAGTCAATTGTTGCACTAAACCGGTTTACTGTCCTTCGTGCAAACAGAGCTCTCGTGTTGCACAACGCCAAGCCCACTGACGTAAAGACCGACGCTTCTCCACGCATGCAGCTCAAGGTAAATTCCAGCCCACGGTCCCAAACCAATGGCCAGTGCACATACATCACCCTAAATATCAAACAGCCCACAATACGAGCTGAAGCTCGTCTCGATCAAGATACACACCGAGACGGTGTCTCTTGGGCTGCCCAAGACGGGTCTAAAGCGGACTAGCTCAGTGGTTAGCTAGCAGAGCAGTTTGGTTTCTGGGTTGTGTAATTTTCTTGTTCTCTTTTAAAGCAAAATTCAATTAATGAATTTCATGCAGCATGCAACAAAAAATTTCACTTGGGGTAATGGGGTGGAAAAACATTGCTATTTTGACAGATAAAAAAGCACAAATATTCATGAACAATTAGTTTACCAATTCTCTTTCATGGACCATAGAGAAATGGGTAGATTTAGCCATCTCGAGTGGTGCGATAATCCTGTTCTGGCCCATGTACCTATCACCACGGCTAATGATTGAACCTGCCCATGGTAAAAGTGGTCCTGGAACCAAAAAAGTGGAGAAGTGAACAGAGGGTCCTCTGGTGACGCACTTAAGGTGGGATTGAGTAGGGATCGTATGCGGGTTTCGTACTTGTGGCTAGTTGGTTCAGGTAATGGGCCATCATTTCGTATCCATCATGCCAACTTAGATCAATAACGAGCAATTGTGGGCAAAGGCCTACCCACGGCAGTCAGTGATGGCAGGGTTGTTGCTGTTGCTATGTAAGGTTTTAAGAGGAATTGCAGATTACGAGTAATCTAGCAGGGCCTGCGACGACTACGCTTCCTCCGTCGGTGTAAGGCTAGAATTTGGTTGGCTAGTGTGCTCTGCCCACATCCTGCGTGCATCTTACACAAAAGCCCTTTTCAGAGATTGCCATTTCTGGTTGTTAACGTTACATGAACACTCCTGTCCAACTATGCAATCACGCGGCACGTGCAGTTATAAGGTTTATTTGTTCCCATTGGTCACCGCAGTCGAGCGTGAACACACATGCGAGGCTTAAAACAAAAGAGTAATTTGGGGTTGCAGCTACCCCAGTCGAGACCACACGCACGAGTCTGCATTTGTGGCCCGAGCGTGACCAGTGGCGCATGACCGAGGTGACTCGCAGACCAGTCTAGCAGCAAGAGCCTCGGGGAGTTCCTCCGACCAAAGACACCTTCAAGTACTCTCAGCAGCGGCGGCCAAGGCAGCTCAAAGCATCACGAAAACGTGCAGAGGGAGCGCGAGGCCGAAACCACTTGAACCTTCAGTGCTTGGGACGGAAATAAATTGTATTTCTTCATTTGTGATACAAACCTCGAAGGTCCCGCGTCATCATCATCTCCCGCAACCAATGACACTGGGAACAAGATGCAGGGCCGTGCCACTGGTGACTTCTTGGTGGTTAAAAACCCTGGGGGCGACTGGTTCGTGGGGAAGGTCTAGCTGCTTCTGGGTCAGTGTGCGGTGGATAGCACCATGAAGGCCCACGGATATCTCCCTACCGTCAGCTCTGCACAGCACAGGTGCCGTCACCACCATCACCCACAACCAGATCCAGGAGATCGCGGTGGACGTGTGACTTCTCGCAGGTGTCGCATGACCTCCTTTCTGTCGTGCAGGGCCGAGGGCAAGGCGTTAGCCCTGCCAGAGTAACCGTACCACTCAAACCGAGATGGCTACTTCGGGTAATTTATCTCTTCCTCTCTCTCATCCGGTGGGGTCTACTACAGTGGAGGGGTTCTGCGGTGGTGCGGGCACCCACCGGGGGAGCGGGGCGGTGTCGTGCAAGCGAAAAGCGGCCTTAAGACTTAAACGCAAAGGGGGACAGGGGCCGAAACTTGGATGACTAAGCCGAGCTGCAGTTTGAATCGCATCAAAATACTTTGGTTGCGGCAAGGAGGCCGCGAGTGAGGGGGGCGGATGGGTGGGGGGGGGGAGACATGGTCGCAGGCCACCTTGCTCTGATACAAACTTCCACAGCAGATCTCACAGTAAAACAATTAAAAAGCGTACGTATTTAGCCTTTAACATTATCTTTGACCTCTGAAATAGAGGCAAAAACGTTTTGAAGCCTGAAGACAGCTTCATCCCAGCCCTGTTAATCAATAAAAATAGACATTCAGCAGAGAGAACGAATACAAACAAAATATAGAATGTTAGAGAGAGAATCAATCAAGTGTGAATGTATGTATTTCTCTGCAACCCCCAGAACTCCTTCCCACACTTCAGCAGTAGTCACAAGCACAAGTGGATTCCTAACAGCGTCTGCACTTATTTTGTTCATGCGGAATACCGATGGGTGGTAGCATTTGCGTGTTTTCCAAACGAACGGACCTGCATTGAAATTGATCGTTCCGTACGAACAACGTCGAAGTAAAGTGCTTCAAAAGGACTTCACAACAACGTCGTTAACATGTAGCCTGCCGTCGTGTGGATCGTAAAAAGGCGTACTGCCGTGTTCGACTGACTGAAGTGTGGGCGGGGAGCGTCGGCGATCGTCGTTAAGATGAGGTTGACGCTTATAAAACAAGAGCGGTCCCGCGAGGGGACGGTGAGACAAGGGTTGAGAGCTCCACTGAAAACGGTTTGCGACGCGGACGGAGGCCCTTGCCCTGCAGGAAGAGCTTCTGGCGCCATTACAGGAAGTAGTCGGGGGTGCGGCGAGTGACATGAGGTTCCCCTCGCCGAGGGGCTGGGTCAAACTGCAGGCTGTGGGGGGGGGGAGGCAGACACCAGGCAAACATCAAAACATTCTCCCCACCCTCCACCCCCACCTCGTGTCTCTCGCAAGTGCCGCTCAACCTCAACCAACCGCACACTCTCGCCGTGATATCATCGTCGCTTTGTGCACTTCAGCCGGTTACGTGGTTGGGATAAGTACATTTCTGTTATTAATGCACATCCCATTCATCATTAATTTAAGTAAAATACCATTATTATGAATATTAATGGCGTCGGGAGCAATATTTAGAATCGCTTATACTTTTTGCTAAAAACATTTTTAGAATTGCGCAAGTGGTCTTGTACAAGGGTCCCCAGTAATTCAAATCTTGCCACACACGTACCCCATTATTTTGCGGGTTACGAGACGCAAGCTTTTGACGTGTGCATGCAACCCGTGTGCGAGTAACCTGTGTGTGCCCGCGTAATCTGCGCGCGTGCGCAACGGACGACTCACAAAGAGTACTTGAGAGTGTCATCGAGCTCCATGATGGCCGCCTGATTGCCGCAGCGGTAGCAGTAGTTGGGCGCGCTGAAGATGGTAACAACGTTGCGATCGTGGCACCAGTTGTAACCCTGTGGAGCAAAGCGCACGCCATCACCGAGCGAGCAGCGGAGGATATGCGCGTGGTCTATACTCCAGCAACGCGGATTGGTGGATCGTGTAAATGTTCCGAATATACATTCCCGCGGGCGTCGAGGTGCCATGCAGAAGGTAGTACACACAAGTGGACTAAGTGTCCATATTTTTTCATCAGTGGGTTTTCACCCACAAGTATAAACACTGGTGATTAATTGGCCGAAAACATCATAAAAGTAAAATCGAGTGGAGCAGAACAAAGAGTCCTTGGGCAATGTGGCTCTCTTGGATAAATAAAAAAAATGCACGGGTAAGGGTGCCGTGATATAATGTTGCGTGATGCATTATATCAAGATTTCTCAATGACACGACGTCTAATTTCACAATACGGCGATTGCTGCCTATTGTCAGTGTCCCCTATTGTACTCGTTATTGTGTTGCTTTTTTGCTTTGTACAAATAAACCATGCTTAAACAGATCTTTAACCGCAGTTGACTTTATGCTCATCTGTAATAGCTTTGTTTTGGATGACCCCAGGAAAATATGTAACCGATTGAGGTCACGACCCAACATTGCGTACATTCTCTCGCTATTGCCGTGTAGATTGCCGCTATTGCCAAACCTGCTGCAGGGTTCACGATTACGACATCACTTCTGAGCTGTTCCCACAATAACGTACCGCCGCGTGCATCGGGTGACGTCACTTTTGTTGCCATGAACACAACTTAAATGATTACGCACGTTTTTGAACCATGAAAATTTTGAAATTCCAAACAATGATCTGAAATTGTCCATAACAAAGCATGTGAATGTTTTTAAATCAGAAAGTCATCGTTAACTTCTACATGGACAGACCCACTGTTTTGTCTGTATATTGGTTTTCAACCTATGAGATTCGGCACGCCACCGCCCCCCAAAAGCCTTTTATCATCAAGGCTGCGGCCAAGATACCGTGCAGGGGAAATATCAAACGTATACAGCGATCGTCAGTGCCACATTATGAGAACACGCTAAACACAACACAAAATAAATGCATAACTATCACTGCGTTGACTAAGAGGCATGGACATGTGACCTCTCTATTGTGGGCTAAGTAAACTGGGCAAGAGGGTGGGGGGGGGGGGGTTAGGCACTGGGGGGGCTGCCACACCAAAATGGTTGATGACCATTTTAAAATATTAGATAAAATGGAACTGGTCAAACTTCCCAATGTAGCAGGACCCTCCTGATCGCGAGTCTTGAGTCTCAGCGTGGCTGTACAGGATCAACAAATTAATGGAGGATGGCATGGCAAGGGGTGGGGGGGTGGGCGAAGGAGGGAGGCACAGGCACAGCAAGCGGGTAGTGACCTCCATGACGAGCTGGTGGGCACGTGACACAAGTGTCAGCCCGTTGCTGTGGTTGAACGTTTCGGAGATGTCCTGGCCGAATGTGTAGCCGGCGCCGCGCGGGGAGATGCCCCAGCCTCCACGGTCGTCAGGGTCCGACCACAGCAGGTCACACATGGGGCCCTACGCCACATACATACACACAACGATCAACATTCATACTTACACAACATACAACAGTCAAAAACTATGCACCCAACATAGATACAACATACAACGTTCAACATTTTACGCATAAAATACACAACATACACAATATACACAATAAACACAACGTACATTATGCAGTCAAACACAATGTTCAACATTCACAAAGACATTTCCTCCCGTATAGTTTTTGGCAGACTATTGGGCAAATCCTTTTAGCGAGCACTTATGAAAGCCAGCACGGCACACAAAGGGGTGGGTGACCAAGACCACACACGGCCGCCTTTGTTTCCCCAGTGATGATCTTTACACAGCACACGAGGTACTTGCATTTAAAGCTGAGTCGACCTAGGGGAGACCCATGACAGGTTCAGATTTTCTTCACTTTTGTTGGTAATGAACGGGAATCGTACTTGGGTCGCTGGTTTCGTAGCAGTGCGTCAACCACTACACTACCGCTCCCGAGTGCAAACCACACAGTCACATGCACACATTATAGACACGCCACACATGCACTCCACACGCATGTGCAGTCCACATAGCATAACCTGTGATTTAACATTCTTCACCTAATTTGAGTAATCATAGCTCATTTTAAGTCTGCAAGCCTCTTAAATCATAAACAAGGATTATGGAATATTAAAATGTTTTTTTCTTCTTCTATGCACGCTATGTTGGCCCGAATGGAGGCCAATTCCAAGTAGTAGAAGCTCAGGTGGCCAAGTAGCACAGCGAGCGGCTCGCAATCGCAAGTTCAAATCCTGGTTGGGGGTTTACTCGGTTCACATCGTCCCTTCCAGCGTCAACAATCAGAATATTTATTCACACTGGAGGAATCCGATGAGTTACAAATCTCTTTTTCACAGATGAGAATAACGCAAGTGCCACTTTGATGTGGTTGTGAACGTACTTGCTCCCATCATAGGAATGTGGAAGTTTCGCCACAGGCTCAGAGGCTGTTCAAGAGGATAGGAGGACCAATGATCTCAATACTTGAAATATCGCTTTGGCAATGCCTTCCTGAAAGCGAGCCGCGAGCCCAGATGAGGCTTTATAGAATAAACTATTTTTTTGTATTTCACCAGGTGAGGTCCACCGAGTTGATCATTGGTTTTTTACCCTTCTATCTGGCAACAAAACTGACACCTTTTTTACAAGGAGTCATGTTTACATAGACCACAATACCTGCAGTCATAATGCAAACAAAAAACATAACTCTGATAATGTATGCACCGTCCTTCAAGTTGATTGGTCCACAATCGATACAGCTTTCCTTAGAGCCAAAAGGCGCAAAAAAGGTGTCAGTTTTGTTGGCAGATGAAAGGGTAAAAAACCAATTATCATATTTTTTACTGGCAAATGAGGTTCCAATGGTGTCCACCGAGTTGTTTAGCTCTTTTTCAGAAGCAACCTGGCCACAAATGATAACTCAAACACATCAACGGAATATGGTGTGGCGCAGAATCCCATGGCAGGCTGGTCGGACAGAGGGGGGACAAAGAGCCGGCAGCAGTCATCACTTTTGACTTTGTCCAAGTTTCTCGTGAAGGGGGATGGTGGGGGGAGGGGGAAGGGGTATCCGTACCTCATGAGGGACCTCTTGCAGACGGTCGAGAGCTCGGATGTGGTCCAGCGTGTCGATGGAGGGGGAGAGGCCTCCGTGCAGGCAGAAAATCTACACGGCACACGTGCGCCACCACACACCATCGTCAACCAATCTCACTGGGCGGCGCATCCCGGCAGTGCTAACTCATTCTCCTTCGCAGAGGAATTGTTGTGCTTGTGAGAATCAATCAGTGAGGAGTGCAGGCTGCAGCATGGACACCATGCAGGAGAAATTTCAAATGTGCGCGGGCCACATCAGCGTGGTGTTACGGCCAAAAAACACTTAATACACGATATGAAACAAATACCTATCACCGCACTTGAGGTGCGGACATGTGATCTCTCTGTATTGTGGCCTTGTAGCCTTGTGCGAGGGATGGGGGGGTATGCGGGTGACAGTGCAGGGACCAGTCTTCATTGGGGAGGGACACCATAACAAAAAGGATGGGGGGCACCACTGATGAAATATTTATGCAAATTTTTTTCCAATGTTACCTTTGCGACAAATGGGACAAAGGACAGGTGAACCAAAGCAAGCAGAACAATGAGAGGTTACACACAAAACCAAACCATGACCTCGAACCATAACAATTCCTCTTATAGCACACGGGCAAGAATTGTTAGAAAGATAATCACTGCACAGTCAACAAAACCCAGTGCCAATTTCCACTGAGAAAGAACGCCCCTACCACCCTCCTCCTGCCCCCCCCCCTCCCGCCGCCATGTGAGATCCAGCAAGGGCCAGTCTCTATATCCGGACCCCTGCTGCACACGTTGAGCCCACCGGAGCAGAACAGCAGCGCCGGCTCCACCGGAGGCGTGCAAGCGAGCTCTTACGTTCACATGATCTCAACTCAATTACGATTGCCCAACATCCGATCTGGCGCCACACACAGACACCCAGAGCGAGCGCTGCTGGCCGTCCATTGCTGCACACAGCCGTGCCTTTCATGGTTGTGGTTTTTTTTTCTTCTTCTCTTTTGAGAGTCGGTGAAAATTACGTTTAAAATTCGAAAATAAATCCAAACGGTCGGACGATGGGGCCCGGCCACACAGCGCCGAGCATTACCGACTGCGTTCTAACAGGGAAGTGATAACTTGAGGCTGAAGTTTCAGGGAATTACCCGACTTAAGGTTTCTGTTTGTGTGCGACTGCCAATCAATGGAGGTCAGTACAGAGAATATTTTTTGTTGAAGTAAAGCTTTGAAATATAACACGCGTGAAGCGACTTACACCACATCTCAAACACTTAGAAGGGCACCCACCCCCCCGAAGGGGCAGCTGTCCCTGTGCGGCACAATGTTTACTTGGCATCTGGTCTGCAACCGGATTATTCCTCTACCAGTGGGGGAAGGGTGCCAGGCGATGACTGCCATATATAACCTCAATGGAGTAATTTTTAAGGAGTCCACGCAAAACTCTGTAATTTGTTTGATTTCCTATTAAGACTATAAAAAGTGCACAATTATGCGAGGCAGCAGGACACACTGCTAAATTCTGCACTGCCCAGTGGCTCTTACCTGGCGCTGATCAAAGGCATACACAACAGCAAGAAACGACAACTCATTTCTTTAGAACTACTTTAGCGTTAAGTTTGTCGTCCTTACCCGGCACCTCCGATTAGCACGGTTGGCAAAGCACGGTGCGAAAGAAATTCAACATCGTACCAACTTCAAAATCAGCACCACGCTCGCACCTGTCTGTCGACGAGCGCCGTGAGGGGGAGGAAGTCGAAGAGGTCGGTGAAATACTTCCACACGTTGGCGTTGCCGTACTTGCGCAGGCACTCGTCGTAGAAGCCGTAGACCTGGGTGATCTGTCGTGACTCGTGGTTCCCGCGCAGGATCGTGATGCGTTCGCGATAGCGCACCTGCCAGGGAGCGGCGCGCGCAAACGCCGCGTCACACTCGGCGCACACGCAATACACACTCGTGGCAACCCAAGTTGTAAGCGTTGCGCGTTTTTCAATGTAATTTATCACCGCTAAACAAACGTGTTCCTCACTTGCGCCATTTAACTATTTTTACTTTTTATTTTACCAGGTAAGGCTCAATGAGCTACGTAGCTCTTATTCAACAGTGACTGACCGCAAATGATGGCTCAAAGAAATGGCTTATCATGTTGACGATTATAGCATACATACATAGCAGTCAAAAAAAATCCACACCACCACGGGGAGAACATCCAAACTCCGAATATACAGTAGGCGACAGGGTGGGGATTGAACCCATGACCCTCCTGTATACCAGACGAGGTAGTTAATATTAACAGTCAACAGTCAGTACTCTTTGCCTATAAACACGGTGACGCACTGCATGTCGACACCAGTCCAGTGCTTGCTTGTGCTGAATCAGTGCTGCTGGGATTATTTACCCCCAGAAGGCCATGTGTGAAAGGTTATATTTGCCTGTTTCTAAATGTAACTTCCTCACTGCCGCGAAGAGAACGTGGTTGTCACACTCGCGCCATGAGTAAAAAGTCAGAGTGATTTCCGGCTCGCATGACATATTGAGGTGCTGCTCAATGCTGAGCCAGTGGTGAAAATTCCACGTTCCTATGGTGGGGGGCGAGTCCATCGATAGGGCAACCAACAGTAACTTCCCAATTAGGCTCCCGCCTGGTTAATGGTCATGGAACTGACGGCAAAACTAAAACAAATTCACAGTCCATCAGTCACACACGGCTTCAAGGAGTGCATAACTTAAGCACCATTGTTTCACAAGCAAACTCCATTTAGGGCTATCGTGCTATTGACGAATGTGTAGAGTATGTCTTGTGTGCTTGTGCAACACTGACAAAGCAACATCACCAAAAATACTTGTTTGACACAGGTTGAAATTTCACGTTTCGAGTTTACAAATTTAATTTAACCAGTGCGAGAACTAAAGGGACAGGAGGAATAATGGGGACAAGACTAAAGACAAATGTCGTCTCATTGAAAGAGTGACCCTGGGTCAGGAAATCAACGAGTGGCCTCTGCTCCCAACTAAGGGGTGCCGCGGGTGGCGAGGTGTCAACTACCTCGCCTGGTATAAAGGAGGTCGCGAGTTCGATCCCGACCTTGACATCTGTATATTTGGAGTGTGCATACTCTCCCCGTGGTCGCATACATTTTTTCCTCCGGATCCTCCGGGTTTTCCCTCAACATTTTAGAAACATTCGTTTAGAGTATTTGGCTGCAATACACATGATAAACCACTTCATTGGGCTATCGTTGGTGATAGCCAGCTCGCTCCTGAAAGAGCTATATAGTACAAGTAAAATAAAAATAGTTTATAGCTTTTATAGTTTGTCTCCCCATCTTTACCTTGAGCGCAACGAGCAGCGACACAGTCTCCACCGAGTAGTATCCCCGGTCCACGTAGTCGCCCATGAAGAGGTAGTTGGTGTCCGGGGACTTCCCGCCGATGTTGAAGAGCTCGATGAGGTCATGGAACTGGCCGTGGAACGTCCCCGCACACAGTGACGGGGCAGCGCACCTCCTGCACATTCGACTCCTTCGTCAGGATCTCCTTGGCCTGAGAGAGAGTGGAGGGGGGGAGAGATGGGGACGAGAGGGTGGGGGGGGCCTGACGGTGAGCGAGATTCGCCGGCATCGCATGGCACCATCAGCACCGCTCGCTCATTTACTCAAATATGAAAACATAAATATGCTCGCTCACACCATTGCTGGCGTAAGAGGGCCTCCAGTAGGGAGTTCTAGAGAGCCCCTTTAGAGAATATTTAGCCATCCAGACCAAGCGTCCACCCTATATCATCCGATTTTACTGTATCCACATTTTGCCGCACCACATGCAACATGTCAATCAACTGGGTGGTTTCCTAAACAGACAAATTACAACAAAAATGTATAAATTATTGAAATGCTGAACACTCAGATGCGGTCGACAAATTTTCTTTGATTTTGGGCTGTTAGTGGATCGTGGCTTGCCGGGGGGCTACAGAACTCAGCAGGTATGTTGTATTTTTTACGCATTTGCCGAGCAGACGCAATGGTTGCTACATGTTGAGTGGCCAGCAACACACGCAGCGTGATCAGAGTTAAAATAGACAAGTGTTAACCTTTCTTGAATTGAGCAAGGATAAAAAGATTTTGGGAAACTAAAGAGACAAGGAGGAGAGGGGGAAATAGACGAGGGGAGGAATTCCAGACTGCAGCAATGCAGAGAAAGAAGCAGAAATAGAAGCGAGGTAACAACTTGCAGTTTGGCGAGTGGATGAGTATGTATATTGAACTTCTTTTTCACCATACGTAGCCAACCGAATCGGAGGTGCAATGAGTGTGGTATGTATAGTATAGAGGCTCAACACAGCATAGGCGGTACTAAAAATGGATCAATCCAAGCATGTGGATGGAACATGTACTCTTAATAACAATGCTATACACGTCCGCTCGTTCTTTTGGCCGGTACCGTTCCAACCGTTATATATAACTCAAAGCCAGTAGTGTCCAATCAAATGTCCATGACAGGAGGACGAGATGCACAACAGATACTGCTGCTGCTATGATACAGCCATGATGGAATAATTTAAATGCCGGCTTGTTCTGTTCTGTGTTCTACGGGTTATTTCGTATCACCATGGGCTCCCTGCCTCTTCCATCTAATTCACAACTGCTAATTCCGTATAACTTTAGTCGCAATTGTATTTCGCAACGTATCATCGTCTCTTTACATACTGAGTGTCATTTATCCTGAGCAGGGTTTTGTTACAGGAAATACATTAAAGTTTTATTCATTTGTGCGTGCGCAGTTGTTTTATTTAAATTTTGTATTGATATTATTAGCGCAGTCTTCATCAGTGCCGATCCATTTGAAATATTCTGCTACGTATTGACATTATGCAAAAAGGAGTTATGACGGCTGGGCGATTCTCAATTTAAATTATTAATGCTGTACGTCGTAGCAATAACGTCTATGTTATTGGGGCTATGTATCAATACTGTATACAGTGACAATTCACATTGTCACTGTTAAACTCGGTGACAATGTCTGGGTATAGATTCTATTCACAGTAGCTATGTCTAGGTATCAATATTCCATAGTAGTTACGTCTATGCTATAGACACTAATCAACGCAGTATGCAGTCACGCTGTTTATACTGTAACATGTGTTACTATTACAATTGTTTATCCAGGAAATCCTCTGCGAGTCTCAAGACTATTTTCAAGAGGGTCCTCCTTTATTGAGCTATCATTTGTGGCCAGGTTGCTTCTGAAAAATAGATTTATACCTCAGTGGGCTTTAACGAGTAAGATGGGGATGGTTAAGTTTCATTTGTATGTGTTTTTGGTGGTTAAATTTCGATTTAAAGCTTTCGTGACTGCAGGGATTCATCTTCTTGGTTCTTTCGGTAAAGTCACGTAGAATGGAAATAATAAAAGAATAAATAAAACATGATAAAATAATTCTCACGACGTTTCGGCCACAACGCAAGCAGCCGTCCTCAGGTGAAGAACAGGTCTGTCGGGAAGACAGCGTCTGGTGATTCGTTTACCTTTCTTGTAATTTGCACTACTATGTTTTTGTATTGTTTGTTGTAACGTTCTTACCCGCCACACTGGACATCTGTGAAGAGCTTTATAACTCATCGGATTCCTCCAGAATAAATACATATTCTAATTGCTGGGTGTTTCCCAATTAAGCGATTTCAGTTTTTTTATTTGACCAAGACGCCAGCATACACTGGCCTACTCTTTCATGAATGATGCTACAGGATCTTTAACATCTATGGTTAAGCAAACAGTACATATGTTATGGTTATCACACCCAGGGTGTAACCAGGGCGGCCTGTACAACACGAACAATCTGCGAACAAACCTCTGCAAACAATGCTGTGCAGATTATCAATGCTGTACAACACAGTAACTAAGTCAATTTTGTTTATCCAAGTGAGAAATCGAGACCAGTTAAAGTCTTAGTTGCAAGAGCGACCAGGGTGACCAAACAAATACAATTTACTTACTAAAAAAAGGTATAATTTCTCATGCGACACCAATTGTGTCGCATGAGAAATTATAAATATTTAATAAACAACCCAGTTTTAATTAATACATTATCTGTAGCACAAGTTGGCTCGGGCAGATCTTTTTAGTCCGATCATGGCACAATTTGAATTGTTACAGAAACATATACAAGTCGACAAGGATATGTCAAAGTCAATTGAAGTTATCAAAGAATCGAAAGTTTAGCATCGCGTTGTTATTCATAATGGGATAGTAGCCAAGGACATTCTTGAAGTGACGGAACACCACGAGCTTGGGGCATAAACAAAAAGAGAGTGAAACCCATGAGAGATTCCTTCTGTCCTTGGTACAGTGGACACGGTGTTGTGGGCTTCTACGTTCGAGGGTTTTGGTAATGAATAAACGCTTGGGATTTTGTAAGGGGTTGGCGTTATGCTTGTATGCATGAAAATAATCTTGCACCCAATGAATCTCCCTTGCCAATTGAAAGAGCATGATAAATGGTCTTAGAATAAAAATACATGAGTGGAATACCGTAGTTTGTAAGATAAAGAGTTTGGCAGAATGAGATAAGGTTTGGCTAATCCAATGGTGTTATTGCTTGATTTGCATGTCACCAGCAGAGTCTATGACATGTACAGAGGTAGCATCTATCTAATGTTTTAGCGAAAGATATTTCGTTTCTCTACAATTTCCAATAGTAATTTTTAATGACTTTCTTAAATACTCTTGACAAAGATTGAAGATGAGATGAGAATCGAGCCAGATGCCAAGATACTAGTTGTAGAAGGAAAGATGTTCAAGTGCTGTGCGACAGAGTGGTCATGGGCAATTTTCATTGGCTCGGAGCTTTCTTAGACCAGGGGGCTCATAAAAGGAACACGCTTGGTCTTGTTTTCACTCAGGTGACATTAAGCGATAACATTTTTTGGATGGTTGTGAAATCGTCTTGTTTTAGTTGTACATGAATGTAGATGGCTGGCGTATAATCATGTCATCGGCATAAAGTTGAACTTCAGAATGAGCTATAGTTGATGCTATGATATTGTATGTTGAACGTCTTTCGCACCGTACTCAGCCAACCGTGCTAATCGGAGGTGCGTTGGAAGGACAATCGAAAACACAAGCAGAATTTGTTTTATTGAATGAGAATAGGACTGAGCACAGAATCCCGTGGAACACGTTTGGTGAGTGAAATCAGAAGGTTGACCATGGTGGATGGGGGTTGGGGAAGGAAATCCAGGCTCCTGGGCAAGTAGAAAACCAGCGACTTCCGGCTATGCAGATATTCACGGAGAGTTTTGAGAGGCCATTGTCGATTTCAGCAGACAGCAATGTGGGGGGGCTGGCTGGGATTGTGATTCAGTGGATCCCGAGTATTTGGGGGTGATATGCCTTCGTTTATAATGCTGTACACAGTAACAAAGGTATGAAATTCTAGATTTGAAGCTTTCGTGAATGCAAGGATTCATATTCTTAGGTTTTTTTCGGTAAAGTCACGTAGGTAAAAAATTAAAATTAATAAAAGTAAAATAAAAATAACATAAAAATCACGACGTTTCGGAGGCAACACAAGGTATGAAAACTAAGAACAGGTTTACCCTTTCTGGCAGTAAAACAGGAGGCGTTAAGATAGAAATCTTTTGCAAGGAATCGTCTGCATTAAACCACACACGGGATTTGTGGTGAACATGCAAACAAACATTCTCTGATAATATATGTTGCATTGTCTTGGAACTGATTGGTCTACACCTAGAGACAGCAGTCTTCTTTAGGGCCGAGTCTCATGAGCGTCATACCAGAGCACGCCAAAGGCGAACAGCACAAAGACAATGCACAATCAGAGCACATTTGTTTCGGGGTGAGCAGCTACAAAATGAGATCTTTATCCAGTACCAAGGCATTAAAAGGCGAAACCTATTCTGCTTTTTCATATTTTGATACTAGCAACAAGGCCCATTTAGTAACAATAGTATTGTTATTCTTGATTCTATCGGTAAAGTCACGTAGAAGGGAAATAATAAATAATGAAAATATACAAATTCTCACGACGTTTCGACTGCAACACAATCATCATCAGGTGTGAAATCCACATCAAGATTTCACACCTGATGACGATTGCTTGTGTTGCAGTCGAAACGTCGTGAGAATTTGTATTGTTTTTATATTTTGTTAATATTTTTATTATTTTATTATTTTCCTTCTACGTGACTTCACCGAAAGAACCAAGAATATGAATCCCTGCAGTCACGAAGGCTTGAAATAAAAAATAGTATATTCTTAGATTTTTTCGGTAAAGTCACGTAGGTAAAACATTCAAATTAATACAAGTAAAAAAATAGTATCTTTATGGAGCGTATCTGTTCAAGCCCCGCAAGTCAACATTTGCACACAAGGTGGAGGAACAGGGGTCGGCCAACCATAATAACATGAGCCATTATTTTTTTTCCGATTCCGTTAAACAACTCGATATTTTAAGAGCCGCAATGCATGTGAACACGAGACGGCCCTGAAGAAAATAACGCGACGAAGCGGTCGTGAAGAGCCGCAGGTTGCAGACCCCTGATCGAGAACTCCCAATCCCTCACCCCCTCTCTCCCCATCGCAATGCGTTAGGTGGGGGGGCATCCATTTAGTATGTACGCATGGAGGGGGAGGGTTAACCCAAATGAGTACGCTTGTGTATGGGGGGGGGGGGGGTCTACTGACAATGTACGCATAGTAAACGGGAAGGGGGGGGGTGAAGCCTCGATAATAATTTGTCTATATTGGCCTTCAAATTAGCTAAATCGTCCGGCGGGGTGTAAAAAGTACGCGTTCGTACAGGGCGAGGGGAGGTCAAGTTGACATTTTTGCGTACGTACTAAATCGATGGCCCCTTACTGTTCAAGTCCAGGCTCACACCCCCGTCTCTTTGTTCCTTTCGTTTCGGTCCGCCCGCCCAGAAATATACATCAATAACATCGGCCTGCATTGGCAACGTTTCGAGCAAATGGTCCGTCATGGTTGTAATCCAGGGTCCTTGATGCATGAACGCGTCACCCATTATGTGTTTTGTTCACCACAATAGCACCTTCCATTTTTGAGTTTCGCGAGTGCCATTTGATGTACAATCGCATCCAATCCGTACGTTATGTACAAGTCCACACATTAATAAAAAAATAAAACCATTGTATGCGGGGCACGGTATAATATCCGCCCACGTTATTTCGAGCCACCCCTATACTGCTCTCCGCAAGTCCCCAAGGTACTGAATGGGGGGCGGGGGTTGAGGGAGCCGGTCTCAGAGAGCGAGCGGCGACACTGAAAGCCGCCGCCGAACTAGGAAAATTGGGGGGGTACGCGGAGCGCCGCGGCCTCGCGGGCCTCTGCCCAATGGCAGCGCCCGACAGGGGAGACCCGTCGCGCCTCTCGGCAAATGGAGAAAGGCGGCACGGAACAAACTCGGCAGGTCCCCACCCCACCCCGCGGCCTCCTGCCCAATGGGAGCGCCCGACACGGAGCGAGCCGGGGCTACCGGAGCCTCCCCTAGCCCAGTCTCCCGCCTTACCCCGTTATGGCGCCGCCTCTACACCCCACCACAAACCCACCACAGGGTGCGGGAACCGGTAGAGGGATGGAGGAAGAGAGACACGGGGTAAATGGGGGGGAGAGGGAGAGGAGACGATGCGAGCTGTGGTTCCCGCGTTCTCACGAACACCTCCCGCGCGATTTGCCTTGCGGCCCGAGGCCTCGCCCATCCCGCCCGCCTGCCTGCCCGGTCACCCACCTTCTCGCATAGCGTCTTGACTTGGCCCTCGGACAGCTGCTTGCACTCGGACAACTGCTCGATCCACTGATCCAGTTCCTTCACCGAGGACTTTTCCTCCATGGTCGATTTTCGCCGCGCGGCGTGGTTCGCGTACGAGCGGGCGCCGGTTCCTCCTCCTCCTCTCGACTGAGCAGCTCAGCGGGTCTCTCGCCTCTTCTTCTCCCCTACCGCGGCAATGGCGGCCAGAGACACGTGACGTCACCGCCTTCCTGTCGTAGAACGTCACGACACGCCCTCTCGTGACGTCACCGCCGCCACACCCCCCACCCTCCTCGAGTCCGATGTTAAGTACCGCCTCTACATGACGTCATGCAACTGCCCACACCCCCCTTGGGATAACACGCCCCTCCCTAATTTCTCGTGACGTCACACGGATTATCATGTACAACGTCACCCCCCCTTCACCTGAAATGAAGCCACGCCTCTTTGTGACGTCACACGAGTAGGCGTCGCCTAACGACGTCACGCCCACCCCGCCCACTACTCCAGTGAGTGACGTCACGCGGCCTGCAGGGAGTAGGAAGGCCGCGCGTTTCCGCCGTGCCGCTCGCCGCATCTCCCTCGTCCCCCCTCCCCGCGTCGCCATGAATTTCCTCCGCGGTGTCATGGGCGGACAGGCCGCGGGGCGGCGCAGCCCACGGGCGCCCGAGGACGGTGAGAGACGGCCGCGCGCAACGGGCTCACACGGGGGTGGGGAGGGTGGGACGGGGCGAGGCCGTGTGGTGCTAGCGGCCTCTGCCCGCGCGGGGCGCGCCGAACCCGCGGAATGAGCAGGAGAGGCCGCCTGCTCGAGTGAAGGCCGCGGCCTCGGATGTTGACGTGTCAGACCCCTGTCGTAGGGAGCCGCGCCCCGGCCACTTCTCGAGGTCCCGTGGCCCGGGGTCCCCTCTCCCCTGGCTCACGACGCACAGAGCTCTGCTGTCCTGGCTCGCCTTCGCTGCATTCCCCTCTCTGGGGCTCTCTTACCCTGTTTTTCCCTTTTCCTAGTCGATGTTTCCCCTTGGTCTCGGCCTGCGTCTTCTCCTTCATTGCATTCCCCTTCCTGGTCGTCCTCGCCCTGGTTGAACTCGCCTCCCAGGTCCTCGTTAAACTTGACGGCACTTTTCCTCGTCTCGCTTCCCTGGTTGGACTCCCACGTCCCACGTCTGACATTCCGTGGATTTCCCTTAATCTACATGTTCTTGGTTGCACCTCCTACTCTCTGGGTCCCGATTGGTTTCAAAACCCTTCCTTGGTATTCCAACTCTTGGTATCCCCATTTTCCTTCGTCTCCTCCAAAGGAATTCTTTCCAGCTTTCCCCTAACCACTGGTTGGACTGCATCCCCCCCTCCTGCACTGGTCCCTGGACCCTGAGCGCTTATGTGGCGCCCCCGGAGTTTGGTGACACGTCATTCGTGCGGACGCGTTCAGAGTTAACTCGGAGCGCCCGCGACAACTTAATCCTTCCTCGTCTGGCTGCCGTTCCGCGTCAGTGTCCGATTGTAATCGGGTTCTTTCTCACGCGCATCGACGATGCATATGCACGAGAGACACAAAGCCTCGCCTTGCATACAGTTCTTATGGCCACGCGCCGTGAATACCGCCTCTTAGCAGATGCACGGTGGAATCGTGGCCCAGTGGTTAGTGCACTGTGCTATGAACCCGCTGACCCGAGTTTAGAGTCCATGCCGTGGCTTAAATCGATGGCGAGCGATGGTCTGAACCGGTCATACTCCCAACATCTACCCCCCCCCTCCCCCGGCAACTTTACCAGCCCGCACGTACCAAACTGGTGAAGTATGGTCGAGCAACTCCCATAGCGGACAACAGTGGATTCACAAAATGCTGTTTTGTATTTATATATTAAACAGATGCAAGCATGGTAGCCACAATGTAACACGTAACATCAGCACATTCGTCATTAACACGACCACAACAGAACACATCCCTGACATTTCTGCCAACGGAGAAAGGTCGGAACGAGTACAGTACCTTGTATTTGAATATAGCACTGTATACTGCTATGTTAAGCCAAGTGATTTCTCATGATCAAAACATCATACAACTGCGAGTCTGGAGGTCCTTCGAAGTAGGATTGTTAAATTTAGGTTTTTTTTCGTTACCAGTAACCGCTTGAAAAAAACTTAGCGGTTTGCCGCACTTTAGAAATGTCTAGAACAATAAACAACACGTGTTGACCTTCTCAACTTTGAATGGAAGGATACTACCGAAGGTGTAATGGTTAGTGCACTGGACTTGCAATGTAGAAGGTGGCGTTCACCATAGGAGGGCGACTCTAGCCTCGCCACACACGGGGAAGGGCTTCGTGAAATCGACGTGCTGTGCGAGCCGTATTGATATTTCTACAAGTGTTACCGAGCTGGACGTTTCTGTGCCGAGAGATATTGACAGTTGTATATTTTCGGTCAGGTTGCGCGGCATAATGCTGTGTTCTTTCTCATTTGCTGAGAGACCCCGCTGTGTCTGTCGCATTCCTGTGATGCACCACGCAGTCTGTTCTAGTTGGGTTCTTGGTAAATAGCTGCCATTCACACAGTATCGGCGGCCGTGCTAGACCGATTCTAATAAATACGTTTCGCGTTTCCGAGCAGTATTTGTGCATCTTATTTGCGGCAAAGGAAAACACGACCGTGAATGTTGTTGTTTGATTAACAAAAAATGTGATCTCAACTGCAGGGACAAAGTACAAGGGCGGTAGTCCAGACTTATCACTTCTATTTGGCAAATGACGCAATCCTGCATGGTAAAAAAAAACGCAGCAGATTTGCGGACTGGAGATGTGAAGGCAGGCTGAGCAACAGTGCAGATACCTTTGGTGAATAAATAAAATAGAGTAAGCAGACAATATGCTTCACCCAGCATATCTGTCCCTCCACATCAAAAAATGTAAATATGTCTTGCTCATCCTATCAGCCGCATTGTTTTGTGATGGTGCACACATTCAGCTGCATTGGTTCAACACAAGCCAAACTCTGGCCTGTTTTTGATATTCAGTGTCTCATGCACTGAGTCGGGCCATGAATCAAACTGGTGAACTGCCAGATGAGTATATACGCAGAGACCTCTGTTAGATATGGGTCCTAGGTTGAATAAAAAACACCAAATAATATGTAACACAAATGAACCACACTGACGCTAATGATAACCCCAGATTCAGGCAAGGTGGATCAAGGTGACCCAGGTGAGGGACCTGTTGGTGCTGAGCCCTGTGTGTGTCTGCGTGTGTGCGGGGAGCAGGTGCAGAAGTTATGTGACCGTGTCGCGTCCTCCACACTGATCGAGGACCGGAGGGTGCCGTGAGGGCTCTCAAATCGCTCTCCAAGGTTAGGAGAGCACTCCTCCATTGAACAAGCACATGGGATTAATTTCCATGTGTATTGTATCCACACACACTTACAAGTATATACTGAATGCATCACGGCAATGCTAATAGTAATCAGTCACATATTGTATCATATGTGGAATATTCGCCCCAAGGTGCCTTTATAATAACCTTAATTTAGTAGCTGGAATGGATGACATGAACTATTACCATATCTTCAGGATCATAAGAGCTCTGGAAAGTAAGGCACATCCCACACTTAGTGCCAGTATCAATAAGTTGATACGAATCTGTCCACACACCCAGTACCACTCACACGCCTACCGGATTATAATATGCATCCTCAACTCTTCCTTTATACTACAGGTGGAGAATTGTGTCTCATAATCTAGACATTACGGCAATCATATGCAGCATTCAGTAATTTACCACGCTTGCTACTTCTCAATCCTCACAATAGAGGGCATCGCATGTCCACCATAGCACACTTAAACGCGTGTCATGCTGCGGTCATTTTTAATATGCCTTACCAAAGAGCCATGGTCTGACAAACAGCCTTAACTTAAAATCAGACGAAGAAAGACGTGCCCCATTTGTGCCGTCCGTTATTTTTGCAGCAATGCGGCGCTAATTTGACACATGCTTTGTCCCGCGGCGGGAGCCACAATGGCTCAACAGAGACCACCAGGAGAAGCCAGCTTCCCGATCATCGTGGTTGGGGTTTATAGGGGGTAATGAGCTGCATGAGATTGAGTTCCCCGTGAAGACCCCCCGAGTGTTGCCTTGCATTAGGCTTGCCGTTCTCAGCTGATTCGTAGCAGAACTAATGAGCCGTTGTGTTCAATTAGATATCACCATCATCCTTTGTACTCTTTGTGTCCTTCCCAGCAGCGTTTAAATCGACGACCACGTTGCGCTATGTGCCGTGCATCTAGAAACGCAATGTCTCTCCCAAGCGTGCTTTTAAGCCTGATTGTTGACATCATGTATGCTCGCCGGGATGTTTGCTATTATAAGCTCTGTAAAAGAGATGGGCTTAATTAGTGTCCCAGGACTGCAGCCGACATCACGCTGGCCTTGTGTGTACGTTGTGTGCTCTGCTCTCCCACTCACGACAAATAAAGTGACGAATATCTGTTCTGGGCTTCCCTCTTGTTTGATTCAACCTTAAATGAGTGCCTGGTGCTGTGTGTAAATATCAGCACTGGGATACAAAGGCGGCCGGCGTGGTGCTAGCCACCCAACCCTCTCGTGTGCCATGCCTGCCTGAATAGGCACTCGCGAACAGCATTTTCCCAACTGCTAAGGCTATATGGGGGACATTTGATATTGTTTAACTCCCTGAGCTTAACGGTTTTGCTCATTGTAGAAGTACCGCATGGAGGTCGGCACGCAAGGCATGGAACACCTTCTGCACGTCCTGCAGACTGACCGGTACGCACACACCCCTGTGTGTCGCTGCTCTGCTCACCAGGATCCTGGCTGCACAGCTGCACACGTGCATTTGCATCACAGATGCAAAGATAGGGACGTACGTTTCCTATTGCGAGGTTCCAGCCCAGTGCCCGGACACTCCACTCCTGTCTTTCCACGTGTCTATCACTCACGCCAGCTGCACATCCTCATCCAAACACACGAGTGGATTGTTTTTTTTTTACTTTCACAGTTACTGAGCACAGCGGCCAGCAACAAACGGCACTGTAGAATTCTTACAGAAGATTAGATTTGACATGTTCCTTGATTTGGGCAAGATTATTTTCTAAGAGCTCTGGAAAAGAGACGGTCTGGAGAGAATTCCAAAGTGGAGCAGGGCGAGGGAAGAATCAGAAGGAGAAGTGAGGTGACCTGCAGCGTGGTGAGTGGAC